CTTCCGACAGGGTTATGGAAGGGTCGACGCACCCCCCTGGACTGGGCGGAGACAGAGGCAGGAGCACGCTCTTGGTCTCTGTCTGTCCGCCCCGCCGCCGCCCCCACTCGCCCTGACTGCACAGGATAGCATGCCCCGACGACGAACGGCGACACAAAGCGGGGGACACAAAGCTGTTCGGTCTCATCGTGTCAGGTTCAGGGGAAGATATCAGTATCCAGATTCGTTGCCTCCGCGCCTCTGACTAAATTTGCACTTATGTGATTTGTCTGTGTGGTGATGCCTTTGATTCCCTGAGAACGCACACATCACCTCGTATGAATAGGGGCGGACTACCAGAACAAACGAGCACGCCCCTTGTGCACCTCTCTCTCCTCTCTCCGATACGACATGCTGGAGGCAGGCGGACTACCAGAACGAGCACGCCCCTTGCACCTCCCTTCTCCTCTCTCCGATACGTGGAGGCAACTATTGGGCCGCCCAGCGGCTACAAACCTCCGACGGCCAGGCCGCGCGCATCTCACGGCGCGCGCAATCCGACGCAATTGAGGTGATCCCAAGATTCATTGCACGCGCAAGGCTGCTGCGCGCGCCAGCCAGTGCGCAAGATCTGAGCCGGTGGGCACGTACCGAGCCTCACCTTGCGGCTAGCGCACGGTGGCCCCGCCAGTATCACGTCAAGACTTCCGCCGCGGAGATTGAGAACCGTGGTTGGAACAACGCCAGAGTCCCTGTTGCTCTTGACGCCGTGCATTCGCGCATCTTGAGCCGTGCTGTTGTTTGGCGTGGATGTGAGCCACTTGGTATTAGCGGCCATGTAGGCTTCTCCGACATAAACAAACGTGCCGCTGCCCACAACGGCGGAATGGAAGCACGCCGTATAAGACTCGTACCTTCTCTCCTTGCCATTCCAAAAGGTTTTGAAGTGCTGTCCGTGATTGTGAGTGGTCTCCACCCCTTCCTCGATCATCTCTTGGAACATCCCTCGGTCAAAAGCGTTGGCCCGGTGCACTTCCACCCAGCCACCTCCGCCCCCGGGCCCACCGTCAGCCAGGGGGACCCCCGACCTAACCCAGCGATCGAGCTCGTCGTGATTCTCCAGTCGTGTTGCCGGCAGGCCGCGGAAGTCAGGCAGTCCTTGTGCGCGGCGGTACTCGGCACTCATGCCAATCATCAGGTCCTTGGCAACGGTGACGACCTTCGACGCCTTGTGGTGAGCACGACTCGCCGCTTCCCCGGACGGCGACAGGGGCGCGTGCCAGGCTGCGCAGACACTCTGAGCGCACGGAGGCACTGATGACCGCTCGCTTGGCGCTGGCAGGTCGCACGGCCTGAAGGGGTTGTGCACGGCGCTGAAGAGCCCGTACCACTGCCGGACGCCGTGGTAGAAATAGTTTACACGATGCAGCGGGAACGGAAAAGGGACCTGAGCATCCGAGTACACGGCAGCAAAATAGCGCAGCCACGGACTTGACCGATTGTGCACGTGCACGCCGCGCGAGGCCGCCCAGTAGGCGTTTGCGTTTGAAGAGCTGCAGAGGTCGAAACACCAGCACTGCGGCGCCGGGGCTTCCGTGGAGAGCCCAGCAACGACCAGGTCGAGGTCGCCGCCAGAGACGAGAATGGAAAGGAGAGTGGTTCGACCCCACATTACTGACCGTCGCTCGTGGCGCTGTTCACAGCCTTGTTATTGAGAAGGAAGGGGGAGGGGGGCAAAATATGCGTGCTCGTGGCGCTGTTCACAGCGCTCTCTCGAGGTTCTCGAGGTGGATATGCTTTGGCCGCGTTGGGTAGCGAGCATTGGTGTGGCGCGATCCACGCAGGCGTGGTTTCTGACGGCCGACCGTCAGTGCACGGAGTTGCCCCTTCTCCGACTGCCCCGGCTACTCGAGTAGTTTCCGAGGTCGCGCGGGGCTGACCCCTGCGTCCCCCGGGACCTAGCGCGGGTGGGTTGGAGGGGGCTCGCTGCAAGGGAGGGCGGTGTAAGAAGCCGATCCCCGTAGTCCGCCCCGCCCCTCCCCATCGGGCCGCATAAGCGGCCGCGCCTCGCAGATTCGTTTTCGCGCCTGGGTCAGGCGCGCGGGGCATCCCCCGGGTCGCTCGACCAGCGATCCGAAGAGTGGCCGCTATGCGAAGGAAAGAGCGGGGCCCTCGGGGTACGCCTCCGTCCGACCCCCTCCGAGGGGGGAAGGGAATTGCGGGGTCCCCACGGGCGCCTCTCTTCGGCCCTTCGAGGGGGGGAGGGAAGCAAGGGGGTGGGGGGATCAGGGCGGTGGGGAGGGGTCTCGGTTTCGTGGGTCTTCACAGCCTTGTTATTCAGAAGGAAATACCTCGTATGGCGCACAGACCTGTTATATTGAGAAGAAAAGACGTCTTATGGGGCGCTATGCACTGGTCTACGAGAGTGGCGGTATGCCGTCCTCCCATCCTCTCTTGCTTGTGCCGTGCTCTCTTTCTTTTTGGGTCTATGAGAGGTTGAGGTGCGAGCCCTGCATGGAGGCCCTTTCACATAAACGCACAACCCCGGGCGAAATCGCACAGTGACAGTCAGACACGCAAGACGGGGTCGCAGGGAAGGCGAGCGGCATCACGTGAGTAGAGACCGCTTGCGGAGCGCGGCCAGGCACACCTCGGCCTGCTCCGGATCGGAGGGTTTGGGCTCTCGGCCCCTCCGCGTGTCTACTTCGCGTGCGCGTGCATAGGGACGCCGGAGAGCCAAAGAGTTTTTTTGAAGATGGTGACTGAAAAGGCATCATTCGATTCCGTGCGAGGAAATCTTAGAAGAAGGAGAACGGCATCCAGGAGGAGCGACAGGTCCCCGCCTTTTAGTGTTGCGAGATTTTTAGTGTTGCGGCCGTGAGAGGCGCCGGCCGGGCCTCGCCGAAGCGAAAAAAGAAACGAGAGCGCAAAAAGGAGTGAAGGCACACAACCTAGCACGCAACGACCCTGACCTTGGAGCACTTGGAGTGCAGTCGGTAGCTTCACATCCAGGGCCGGGGAGCTATGAAGCGCACCCAGCCGGCCGGATGCTCGGGGGGACTTGCCCTTTGCACCATATTCTCATATTCTCGAATATCCTTGAGAATACAGATTCATAGCCACAGCGCACTTTCGTATTCGAATTCTCGAGAATATAGACGCCCCGGCCGGCTTTTTCTCAAGAATATACGATCTTCCTTCAGCTCTTGACCTTGGCTGACCTCGAGCGTCTCAAGATATTCTTGAATATTCCCGACGTTAGAAGACTAGAGCTTCTCGAATTCAGCTCTTTTGCCCCTCAACAATATGTTTTGTGGGTCGATACAGTTACAGACGGAATTCTTTCAGTTTTGGACGCTTCGTGTGGGTCGCGTTCCCATCCATCATGCGCCATGGTAGCTGTGTGGCTGAAGCCCTCGAGGTCCACCCCCACTTCGGAGGTGGTCATAGCGACGCCATCAAGCAAATGTGGACGCGAGACAGCGCCAAGCGAGATAATCGTTTGTGCGTACCTGCGAGCTGCGTTGAGGGTTGACAAGAGTGGAATAGAGACAACCACACCATGATCCATGTGTCGGCAACGGCATGTGTGTATGTCTATGTGCACCAACCGGCCAGTCAACGACCAAGCTCGCTTTATGATTAATTTTGTGTGTTATCTCTCTCGAATCACGAGTTGCCGATCTTGACAGATGTGCTCTGAAGAGCATGCATGATTGTGCGGACTGCGGCGGATCGCACACGCCTCGCCGGCCCGCTGTGTATACCCTTCCCCGCTGTCGCTCGTGCCCCCTCTCCCCAGGTCGCTCTCCCGCGCGTCCGCTCCCACCAGGCCGCTACACCAGAGTGCGCGCTTAAGCGCGCAGCCGGCCGCCGGCATGAATCTCTCCCTACTTCTTCTTCTTGCCCTTCTTCTTGCCCTTCTTCTTGTCCGCCTCCGCTCCGGCCGCAGCGGGGGCAGCCACCGAGTCAGCCGCCTCGGTATCCCCCTTTGCCGCCTCCGCCTCCGCCTCCTTAGTTGCCGCCGCAGCCGCCAACTGCGCAGCAGACACCACCGCCTCCACCTCCTTCTCAGCCTCCTCCTTCGCAGCCGCCGCCGCTGCCCGGGCCGCCTCGGCCTCTGCCTCCTCCTCGGCCTCCCTCGTCGCAGCCGCCGCCGCTGCCCGAGCCGCCTCTGCTTCCGCCTCCGCCTCGGCCTCCGCCTGCGCCTTTGCCGCCTGAGCTGCCTCCGCCGCCCTGCGAGCCGCCTCGGCCTCCATCGCAGCCAGGCGCGCAGCCGCCTCCTCGGCCTCCACGGCCGCCGCCCTTGCCGCCTCAGCCGCGGCCGCCGCTCTCGCCGCCTCGGCCTCCTCCTGCGCCTTGCGCGCCGCCGCGGTAATCGCAGCCTGACGCGCCGCCTGCTCAGCCTTCTTCTGCGCCCCCTCCTCCGCAGCCCGTGCCGCCTCCTTGATCTCCTTCTTGGCGGCGGCCGCCGCCCTCGCCGCCTCGACGGCCGCGGCATCTTCTGCCGCCGCCGTCTCCGCGGCCGCCGCGCGGTGGGCGGCCGCCAGCTCCACCGCAACGTCGCGATCGGACGGCTCCTCGCTGTCGACGTACGCTACGTTGTCCGATAAATATTTTGCAGACTCGCTGTCGACCGCCGGCGGCACGTCGTCGTGCGCCTTCCGGGCCGGCCTCTCGTCTCCCCCTTGCGACGCTGGGCAGCAGGAGAAGCAGCAGAGCAGGGCCTGGAGGGCGTCGGCGAGCTGCTGCATGGAGCGACGTGCAGGAATGCTGACCTCACGACGTGTTTCTTTGCGTTACTGAGCGCCGTTCACAGATGTCCACCACCCCCCCACAGTTTGTCCACCCCCCCTCCCCCCCTCACAAAGATTCGCGAACGTACGCTCCGAGCGTTGACTCGTGATCTTGATCCGGTGAATGTGTATGTGTGCATCGCGCAATCTGAACGCGTTCCAGCTATGCGCGATGCAAGAGACAGTCTCGTCGGGACTCAAGCGTGACATGAAGTCTGTTTCGTGTTAGGAAGAGAAGCACTTGCGGTGCACGATGGACGGGCCCGATTCGGCGTACTCCTGCCTCGAGATCCACGACTGCCGGAAGGCGGGAAGCGACGAGAGGATCGAGCCGCCGATCCAGACCGAGTACTTGCGCTCCGGCGGCGCGATGATCTTGACCGTCATCGACGCGGGCGCGAGGGCGGTGATCTCCTTGGACATGCGGTCGGCGAAGCCGGCAAACATGGTCGAGCCGCCCGAGAGGACGACGTTGGCGTAGAGGTCCTTGCGGATGTCGACGTCGCACTTGGCGATCGAGTCGTGAACAATCTCGTGCACACCCGGCGACTCCATCCCAATCTTTACCGGTATGGGAGTTTTTGGCTAATCAAACCCAAGGCCTGCACTAATCAAAAAGTGGTACGGGATACCAGTTGCCTCACGGAAATCAAAGCGAGTCGGAGTGCCTTCTTGGTGGCAAAATCGGCAAAATCGGCAAAATACCGGGTATTTTGCGGGTATACCTGGAAAAACCGGGTATACCCGGGTAATACCCGCACTTTTGCATGGTTTCGCCCCCGGGACCACACCGACAGCCGCTACAACTGCTGAAAACCCCGCATACCACTTTCGCATACCACTATACCATACCACTCCAAAACTAATCAAAATATCGCCAAATACCAGTCTCATACCGGTAAAGATTGCACACTGCTGCGCACATAACGTCTCCACTCCGTGATGCCTCCATGCCGCGGTGCAGAGGTGGATCCAGCTCAATGATGAGGCTACGGCGCGCATAATGAAGAGAGAGGAACACATCGAGTGGCTGAGGAAGCTCTCACTGGGTGGAAAGAGGCTCGGCCGGCCTTGAGGGAGTCGCATGGCGCAGGTTTTGGAGGACACCGTCACCGACGAGCGCGTTGGACTTTTCACTCCGGACAAAGACGGGGACACAGCGGACGGTGCGGGGTGTGTCCCCGTCATAGCGGCGAGGCGCGGGACCGTCTGTGGCGAAGTGGGTCGCGTCCTCCGATTTCCTCAACTCACGGTCCTTCCCCCGTACGGTCTACGGACGGTAGCGTACGGCTTTACGTTAAGTACAGCTGTTGATGACAACACTCAACACTACTTCAGTGGTCCCAGTCGCCGTTGGCAGTGCACGCAGCTTCCAGCGCTTTATATAGGAGTGCACATACAACGGAAACTGTGCGTGCACAAGCCGACCCTAAAGAGTGGACTCGCGGTACGGGCTGACAAGACGGAAAGGCTCCCCCTCCCCGAAGCCCACTTTCAGGAGCGGCCGGCATGGATCCGTGGCGTTCGACCGCTGAAGATGCGCAATGAGGGAGCGATGCCAGAACCGTGCCATTGTTTCGCCCGAAGCTTGTCGCCTTTCATTGGAGGCGTACCCTGCGTCAACGAAATACACCGCCTCGACAGCACCGGGCAAGTGCTCGAGCAGAGCTGTTGAGTTGAGGACAAGCTCGTTATAGAGCTGGCATCTGGGGTACACGCAGCAGCCTCGCGCACAGTCTCGATGTGAGGAATCATTGAGAAACGCCATTGTGTACTCCTCCTGCAGTTGCATCATATGGCGCAGGCCTGTGGGCGCTGTGGCGCAATTCCTGTGCGGCGCAATTCCAGAGGTCCCGTGCGGGCACCACCCTCGCTTCTTGGGTTTGACGCACCCGGGGACGCACGAATCGGGGCCAGACGCATCGTGCCGTCCGTAGCAACGCAGTTGCATGGAGCTCCCGTCTTTGGGATACATGCAGACCAAGGAAGCCCGAGCCGCTTCAGGCGCGATGATGAATCCCGCGTGGCCTTCCCAAGCGAGATCCGGACTTTGCTCATGGCCGACGTCGCCCAAGAAAAAATACGGCAGCCGGTGGTTGACGATGCTCGCTGAACTCATGTGCCATTCCGCCCCCTTTCTTCGGGTGAAGGTTGCCCACGGCTGCTGCTGGGCTGTAGTCGGCTTCACCGTTTCATCAAAGGCCCGCATCACCACGCCAGCCGCTTGCAAGTCGCTGCTTGGGCGGCCCGTTGCAAATCTGTGAGTTATCCGCTGCTGCCCACGAAGGTTGGCCGCTCTGCACGCGTTCGGCGGTGTCTGCGAAGCTTTTGCGTTAAGCCTTTGCGTTTGCGGCGAGGATTGGGATTGGGCGCGGCCACCGGCACAGTTGAGGAAATCCCAAGTTTCCGTGCAAGCGCAAGGCCGCTGTGCACGCCAGCCAGTGCGCAACAGCTGGGCCGGCGGGCAGGTGCCCAGCACGACCCTGCGCTTTGCGCAAGGCGGTGCAGACAGCATGACGTCAAGACTCGTGCCGCCGCGCAAGTTGAGATGGGTGGAGATTTGAGCAGCGCCGCCAAGGTAGCTCCAATTTTTGCCCTTGGAGGCTCGCGCCCGTCCAGAAACGTGTGGCTCGTGTGGTGTGTGCCACACGGCGGGCACCTTCCCTTGGAACCCGTAGCCGCTTCCAACTTGCACCCACACACCACTGCCGACAACGGCGGAGAAGAAGCAGTTTGAGTTCAACTCGTGTCTCCTTTTCGTCGCATTGTCCCACCGCTTCAAGGAGCTGTCGAATCGCTGCTGCCGAAGGCCCTCCGGCCAACTCTTGCCTTCCTCAATCACCGCTTCAACCATTCCCCGGTCGTAAACGTTGGTCCTGTGCACTTCCACCCAGCCGCCGCCGTCCCCACCTCCGTCCGCCATTGGCAGCCCCAAGGCCCGCCAGCGCTCCATCTGGCCGGTATCCACTATCCGTGTTGCCGGTAGGCCGTGGAAGCCAGGGATGCCGTGGACGAGACGCTTTTGCATGGTCATGCCCTCCATTAGGCCTGTGGCGACCTGCACCTTGGAAGAAATCGTCACGTCACCCCGGCCAGGCTGTGAGAGAGGCGCGCGCCAGGCGGCGCACACACTCGGCGTGCACTCTGGCGTTCCCGGCCGCTCTGTTGGCGCTGGCAGGTCGCACGGCCGGAAGGGGTTGTGCACGGCCGGAAAAAGCGCGTGCCACAACCGAACGCCGTGGTAGAAGTAATTGAACCGATGCAGCGGAAAGGGACGCGGGAGCTCGGCATCAGAGTACACCGCTGCGAAGTAGTCGAGCCACGGGGATCCATCGTGCAGGTGCACGCCGCGTGAGGCAGCCCAGTAGATATTCGCGGTGGTATCGCTGCACAGGTCAAAGCACCAGCACCGTGGCGCTTGCGCGGTCGTGTGGGGCCGGCTCGGCGACACAGTTGAACGCGCCAGCGGCAGAAGGGCGGCGAGAAGCAGGTACGTCCTGCACCGCACGAGGCCCCCTCCTGAATTGCACCGCATAGCCAAGGCCACGACGTAACTCGGGCACATATGTGTATATATATCCAACCGCGGTGCGGCCCAAAGACGGCCCAAAGACGCTACGCAGCGTGCATTTTGCGAGGAGACGACGCCGACACAAAAGAAAACCTGGCAGATGGACGCAAGTAAAACGAATCACATTTTCTTTCTTTCTTTCAAAACGAATCACAACGTATTAAAAGCACCTAAATGAGCAAGGCATACGGTGTGAACAAGTCTCACCGAAAAAAAAATCTCATCGGGGGGCCCGGGGCGAGGGGGGTATGCATCGATGGGAGAGAGGTTGACATCTCGATGCCCCCGGAAGAATGGCGGGACCCCCTCGAGTTTGTGGTGCGGAAGACCGCTCGGTGGCTCGGCAGTTCACCGGGAAAATAGAGAGGAAAAGAGAGGGTGCTGTAGAGAAAAAAGGAAAGGAAAACAGACGGGGCGCGAGAGGCAAACCTGCTTGAGCCCAACGCCGCAGGCGAAGAGAAATTTTGAGCTGGGCCTCCCGTTCACACTCGTGCCTGGCCTTTTCTCGGGGCCGCGCCTGCGGCGCGCCGTGGTTTCTTAGATTTTTGCGGAAATCATGGACCTTTCTGAGCGCTGTGGTCGCCGCAGACTGGCTCCGACTTGACGGGCGCATGGAGACGTGATGCCTCCATGCGCCCGTCGCGTCGAAATCGACATGCAGCTCGATGGTTTGCCCGAAAAGGTACATAGCGGCGTTTTGGGCGACAACAGCGCTGCGACCGCGAAGTGGCGGTGGACATGCTCCCATGGTGCCGACGCAGCGCCGGAGTGGCCGGTGCTGCTCACCGCGACCACGACGGCTACTCTGATACTCCGGGCCGACCCGTCCTACCCGACGGTGGCACTCTTCCACGTCTCGCTCACGCTGAGATAAATTCTGAAACGGCGTGCAGCAGAGTCACCGACGAGTCGGTCCGCGTGACTCCTCGTGTCCCGTACCGTTCTCACACATCCATAAACTCACTTTGACCTCACTGAAGCGATGCCTGAATCCTGAATCCTTAGATTTTAGATTAGGACGCTGCGCACCCTCTATGTACGGCTACCTTTATGCAGTCAAGCGCCGGGGTAGCGCGTGGTTTGAGACGCACCTCTCACACACCCAGGGTGGGTCCTTTGGGGGTTTCCCAAAGGGCCCCGGCAGTCGGGGAGCCCGTGTTAGGAAGTTCTCCAGGTTTTTGGGGGAGGAAGGGGGGGCCAAAAAAAGGCCACAGGCAAACAAAAGTGGCCCCCCCCCCCCCCTCCCCCCCCCCCCCCCGCCCCCCGCAAGGCGCGCGATACACTCTCAAGTTTTCACTCTCGAAACTACTCGACGGACGACGCCTCGACGCGCTCCACAGGACCGTACCCACGGCACATACGTGCAAGCACACGGCGACGCAGAGGCCAGAGGCAGCTGATGTGCGCGCTGGGGCACGGCAAGATCTAGCACGGCAGCAACGGCTGCGGCTGTCCACGCGGATGCCTCGCCGCGCGGGCCTCCCTCCACGCGCCGGCGAGCAGCTCTAGATCGCCAGCGATCAGGAGGAGACGAAGTGAGCAACCCCGGTATCCAGCGAGGCGCATTCGGCATTGTGTTCGCGCCAGACTCGTGCTCGTGCTGAGGGCCCAGCTCCAAAAGCGGAAAAAGGTTGCGACCGGGAGCCAGGCGGAAAGCGGAAGAGGCCGCGACGCCCCTAGGGCGACGCCGGCTCGGGCCTCGCGCCTCGGGGCGCGGGCGCGGGCCGTCCCTAATTCGCAAAGCCTAATATCTCTAGATATTGAGGCGAACATTTTGGTTTTGCGTTTGGTGCCGCCGTCCACAAACCAAAAAAACAAATTACTGTCAACGTTCAAAAGGCGCCGAATATGGGATCTGCAACGCGACTTAAAACTGGCGTTTCGGAATCCAGGAAGACCCCCACCCCCCTCGGCCTTCCTTCACAGCACGATGGTTGCGTGTTATGTGGATACTAGCGACCGAGGCAGCAGCCTTTCCACCCAAAGGTGCGGTAGAGCGGCCGTGCGCGCTCTTCGACAAAGCTAGCGAGCGCAGCATCGTAGAAGCTTGCACACTTGCTATGGGCATGGCAATGGCCAGCACCAGGCGCGTTCTTGTCGACGATGCACGCCGGATCTGCTGCCTTCGCTTCCTTGAGGTATGGTGAAAGGTGGTGGCTCTCCCAGTTCACGCGCCCACCCTGAGACTCGAAGGCATGGAGGCAGCCGCGCAGCGAGCGCTCAAAGACCCCATCACTGCCCACGTACACCCAGCAGTCGACGTGAAACTCGAGCGTTTTATTGACGGTATGCGCCGCCTCGTACCCTGAGAGCACAGCTGATTCCTTTTCAGCGCGCACCCATGATTCAAACGGCGCCTTGCTTTCGGTGATATTCTGAGCAGCCAGATCGGGCCGGCGCCAAAAGAACAAGCTCACCAGCCAGTCACATGGTTCGCGAACCGAACTGATGACGTAATGCGACTGTGCGAGCTTGGAGCTTGCGCCGCGAGATGGACCCGTCTCAACATAGCATGCCTCAGACTCGCCGCAGCCAAAGCTCGCGTCGCGGGGGCAAAAGCGCTTGTTCATCTTGCTTGCGGCAGGAGCGTGCTGCCTACCATCTTGCCGCCAGCGGTCGCTGCAGCCGACAACAGCATGGGGCAACGCTTGCCGCAGTGCTCCACTTCCGGTCTTCTCCTGCTCGTCGTACGCAAGCGAAGTTCGATTCGGCAACAGAGACAGCGTGAGCGTGCTCACCCACGCGAGCAGCATCATGTTCATGTGTGTGTGCGCTGCTCTTCAGGGAGATGCACTTTGACCCTTGAAAGCGAACGCCGAGAAAAAGAATTTGTCGGACCGATGGTTGATTCTTTCTCTCGAGGTTCTCGAGGTGGATATCCTTTGGCCGCGTTGGGTAGCGAGGATTGGTGTAACCCGAGCCACGGAGGCGTGTTTTCTGACGGCCGACCGTCAGTGCACGGAGTTGCCCCTTCTCCGACTGCCCCGGCTAGTTCACGGGTTTCGCGGGAGTGACCCCATGCGTCAAACCCGAGACCTAGCGCGGGTGGGTTGGAGGGGGCTCGCCCCGTTCCTCCCCATCGGGCCGCGATTCTTTCTTTCTTTTAGGCAGGGGACACTGATTTTACAACAAAGAACTTCGCACAGCACGATCACGCGACAGAAAAGGCGCGGGCGACGGCTTCCTCAGAAGCCGTCGCCCCCAGGAGCAGTGAGTGTGTGAGTGAGTGTGTGAGTGAGACACACACACACACACACACACACACACACACACACACACACACACACACCAGGAGCAGTCACACGACTCTCCCACTCCGCCGCGTCCCCGCCCCGGCGTGGGAGCCTGGGAGTCGAGAAAGAAGAAGTTTACCACGAAACTTCCCTGTGCGAGAAAAAGAGTTTCACAACGAAAGGCGAAAAAGAGTTTAAAACCTGCCCAGAGCCAGACGACGGGGCGTCTGGGCTCTGGCGGATCTGCGATCTCTCTCGGGTTTGTCGCGCCTTTCACAGAGAAACAAAAAGGCCCGGCCTCTATGCCGCATTGCGCATACATTACTCATTACTTCTCCGCCGGCAGGATCTGTTTTGACACGGCGAGAATCTCTCAGATGACGCGCTGCTCGAGCGCGTACAGCAGGTAGGTTTGCATCCTTCTCTGCGGCGGCGCGTCGTCGGCGACGGCCGAGTGGTAGAGCGTGCTCCACTCCCAATGGGGCAGCGGCAGCACGCGCCAGCCGAAGTGGCGCAGCTGCCGCCGCCGAAGCAGCGTATGGCCGGTCGGCTGCCGGTTGTGAAAGTGCCACGGCGCGTCGACCATGACGGCAACCTACAGGCACAGGAAGTGTCTCGGAAGTGTCTCGGAGGGGTCTCGGCGCGTCGACCACGACGGCAGCCCTCTCGCCCCGCCACTCGACGACGAGGTCGAGCGTGTACCCCTCGTCGGTCTGCAGGTGCTCCGCCGGCTCGAGCCGGAGCGAGGCGAGCGCGCTCAGCACCTCCTTGTGTAGCCGCGACGGGCGGCCGCCTCGGCTGGCAAAGGCGGCGTGGAACCGCGCGCGCAGCTGCTCGCTCGGAAGCCCGTCAGCCCGGCCGCACTCACGCTCCAGCCACAACGCCCACTGGTGCAGCTGGACGAGCGAGCCGTCGTTGAAGCCGCCGCCCAAGCTCTCGACGTGCCGGCCGAAGCCCTCGTCGAAGAGGGCCGGCGCGGTGCGGTGGTCTGCCGCCGCAAAGGCCCACGCGACATTGGCAACCTATATGGGGGGAGATATGGAGGAGAGATATGGGGGAGATATGGGGGAGATATGGGGGAGGTCGGGGGGGAAAGGCACCTCCAACGGCTTAAAGAAAGTCAGCCGCTGCGCCGCGACCACCGCAAGGCCATCAAAGAGAGCCGGCGCGGGCTGGCCGACCGTCGCGAAAGCCCACGCGAGCGAGGCGAGCTCCTGCGGCTTGAACTCGGACAGCCGCGGCGTCGCTTCGGCGGCGAGTCGCGCAAACAGCGCCGGGGACGGTCGTCCGGCGGCTGCAAACGCCCACGCGGTGTTGGACAGCCCCTGCGCTGTGAAGAGCTCCCCGACCAGCACCGACAGCCGCGAGGCGAGGCCGTCGAAGAGCGCCGGCGCCTGTTCACAGCTGCAGCTGTGAAGTGACGCCGCTCACAGACGCATGGCGGTTGCCCGATTGGAGAGGCCGCCGCATGCCCGGCCGTCGCAAAGGACCAAGCGAGCGAAGCGAGCTCCTGCGGCTTGAACTCGGCGAGCCGTGGCGTCGCCTCGGCGGCGAGCGCGTCGAAGAGCGCCGGCGCGGGCTGCCCGCCCGCGGCGTACGCCCACGCGAGGTTGGCGAGGCCCTGCGGCGCGAACTCGCCCAGCCGCTTCGCGTAGACGCGCCCTTTGAGCCACGCGGTCTCGCCGAGCGCCTGATCTCGGACGCAATCTGAGGTGATCTCGCGCAATCTCGCCCCACGTGCGCCACGTCGCCTCGCCCGCGCGCCTTCGGCGTGAACTCGCCCAGCCGCGCCGCCGCGCCGACGGCCAGCGCGGCGAACAACTCGGGATCGCGGCAATTTGCCTTGGTGAAGGACCAAGCGAGCGAGGCGAGCTCCTGCGGCTTGAAGCCTCCCAGCCGTGGCGTCGCCTCGGCGGCGATCGCGCGGAAGAGCGCCGGCGCGGGCTGCCCGCCCGCGGCGTACGCCCACGCGAGGTTGGCGAGGCCCTGCGGCGCGAACTCGCCCAGCCGCGGCGGCGCAGCCTCGGACAGCGCCCGGAAGAGCGCCGCCATGGAAGGGAGGTGCCGGT